AAACTACTACGTGAGCTTTGTGTTCTGGGAAACATGAAAATGGCATAATTAATAATTAATAATTAATAATTAATAATTCACAATTCACAAATTATTATTATTATTATTATTATTATTATTATTATTATTATTATTATTATTATTATATTCATTATATCTGTCCTCCAAGTACATTTCCAAGACCCCCTTTGAATTCATTAAAAGATTTTGCATCTGCAGTGTTATTCTGGGAGAAATGAGAGACGAACTGAATGAATTACCTGACACGGAACTATGAAGTCTATAGAATATGGTTTTGAGTAAAGATTTATCCAAAAAAGAGTGGTTGAATTTGGTATAAGTAGTGACAAATTAATAGAAGTGAATTTATATTATATTTAATAATATAAATTAATATTACTATTAATAGAAGTGAAATTAATAGAAGTGACAGAAGAAGGGGAAATGTTTTTTTTTTTTTAAATAAAAGAGTAAAGGAGGTTTAAATTTGACATAAGGAAGAAATTTTTTATGATGAAAGTGGTGAGACACTGCAACAGGTTACTCCAAGAAGTTGTGGATGTCCCATCACTGGAAGTGGAAAGATAATAGTTTACAATTGTTTTTCAAATAGTGATTGTAAAAATTCATACAATTTATAAAGAATTAGATGCAAATATTTTTTTTCATGAAGAGTATAACATTTTAAATAGCGTTTTTGTCTTTAATACTGAGTTTGTTAATTCATGTGACAGTTGCTAGGAATGTCTTAATGCACAAATGTATATGTAAATATTATTAAGGTATAGATCATTCAATTTAAATGTTTTTCATGTTTTCCTTGTCCTGCAAAGTATTTTCCATTTTTCATTGTTTTTTCAGATCTTTCTTGGAAAAGAGATTTTGAACTCCTGCTTCATATGAACTCCTTCATTAGGTGGAGAAATAATACTTTTATCTTATGTGACTAAACATTTCTAGCTTATGTTTCGATTTATGTGAATATAGCAGTAGTTGAAGAACATTACCAGCACAGACACAATATATACCTGCCATCATCATAATTGAGATATCTGAATAAATTTTTATCTGAGAGAATCACAATCTTTATCTTTCCATAAAATGATGAAGAGTAGGTTTTCCTATTTAGGTGCTCGTTAAAATGTGGTTGACACACTTAGGGCAGGTTTGAGAGAAGTTTTCATCCTGTGGTTTGTTAGACAATTTCAAGTCTAGCAGCCACTTAGCAACAGATTATGTTGCCTTGTACAGTATTGTTTCCCTTCTCTTCTAATACAATTGCATTAGAGCCATCCTTATCATTCCACACTGCCTAATGCCTGATTACCTAACAGAACAGGATGTCCTCTTTTTTATCCATGTTGCTATACTTCATTCTAACATAGAAATTAATTAAGGTGAAACACTGCAGGTAGGTTCCTGAAGATATTAAATGCATTCTGCTTACAGCACTGAAAGTTTTAAGGTAACACAATCTGCCTCAAAATAATAAGCAGAAAAGTCAAAAATAATATTTTTACTTCTTTTATATGTAAACATTTTCTATGTAAAATCTTGTTTTATGAATGTTATGCAGTAGTTTTCTTATGCAATTTAAGTGACAATATATCAGAAGCCTGGAAACAGTTTTTTAAGGAATCTGTTCATAACATAAATACTGCACCACTGGATTAGAAAAATTGGAGAGTTTCTAATTTGTTTTGCTTATGTAAAACTTCCATTCAAGTCACAAAAATGTGTATCTGCATTTGTATGTAAAAAACCCTAAATTTGAAGAGAGCTGCACAGTCTTTTTTGGTTTTGTTAAGACTTCCTTTATTTCTAGATGATGTGCTTTTTATCTGGCAATAAAAGATTATAATGAGTTTTGGGGCACCAAAAGAGTTGTATTATATAGTTCAATGAAGCGTATGTGAGATGAATGGAGTTTTCCCAAAGTCTAGTGAACAGTGATCGGAAGACCTACAAGACAGTATGAGTAGCATATGTGACACATAGCTCTTAATGACAATTCCCAGAAGAAGATTCTCCAAGAAGCTTTTGCATATTGCTTATAGAACTAAAAGGTTTATGATTCTTGTGGACTTTATGCTTTAAATGCTCCACTTTGGGAGGTCTAGATTTGTAACCAAGAAAGAAAAAAAAATGTCTTAATTACTTCATATTATAAGTCTGTAATGAGTTTACTCATCTCAGTTACTGCTATCCATTTATTTTCTTGAATTTGCAACGTACAGGTTCTCCATGACTACTGAATGGATTAGTATGTATCACATCTCTGGTGTGCACGCTAATATATCAGTTATTTTTAACACAGTGCCTTTATCTTAAACAGTACTCTCTGCTTGCCTGTATTTCTGTATGAAAGAAAAATGAAACAAACCATAATACCTTCACAATTCTCTGGGTACTGACTCCTGAGCTTTACCAGCACAGTCCGTCCCTCCATTCAGGAAAATAAAACCCACTTTAGAAGAAAAATCAGTAAGAATTAAGGCAAATTTTATTTTATCAGTCTAAAATGAAAGCACAGAAAGTTTAAGAAATACAGAGATAACGTGGACAGTGCAAGTTGAAAAGGTGTAAGGGAAACTAGGAGTTAAGTGTAGCACTGAAAAATGGGAAAGAGTATTTTTTCAGGGGGTATCACTTCTGCCACAGCATGCAGCTCCTGAGTATTATCAGGAGCCTTGAGGACCAGAATGACACAGCAGGGAGTTAGTTGGTGGTAGATTTGACAGATCAGCAGGTGCCGCTTGCTCTCCCTTGCAGCCTGTAAGTAAGCGTGGTGAATGAGTGGTACCAACTGATAGATTTCTAAGGCTGATCTAAATGTTTTGTGGGCCACTACCCACAGAAAAGATGTCAGGAGAGAAGGAGGAGGAGCAGGACAGTATGTCGGTTGCAGATGATGCAAAATGTACTACACTTTCTCTAGTTACAGTCTATGCACAGCAATAAAAACATCCTTCCTCCAGTTCATGAGGAACTCTACACTTGTCTCTTCTGTCCATATAATGCCTATGAAGCCCTTCCCTTCCTGAAAGAAATTCCTTCACACTTTTGCTACACTTTCATACTGGTTGTCATCAAGTCATCAAAGATTCACTTGAGAGGGTTTGCATTGTGGATCTTCTGCTACTTGGTTGTGCATTGTGGTTTGTTTGAGCAGGTTCCCAACCTACCTAGTCAGGACTCTTCTGGTTTAAAATGGAAGTTAGATGCTAATTTTTGCTGCACCTGTTTTAGTGTGGAGTTTACAATGTATTTTTAGTACTACTTATGTAACCTGGTAGGGAACATGGGGCAGCAGGAATTGGAAAGAAGAGCTGAAGGCAAATCTTCTGGCAATGCTAACAACTGTCTTAGTGTTTCAGTAGTCAATTTTAATACTTGAAATATTTTTCTGCTCATTGCTGTCAAGGGAAAAGAAAAATAAATATCTATTTGTGAGGGCAAAGAAGAAGCTGTTTTATAAGTAATATTGTTCAACAAGATGATGTCTCCAGAAATTTTGCACATCTGGAAAGGAACAATGACTTACTTGAGAAAGCAAGATAGTGCAGTTATATCTCTACTAGAGCTTTTTTCTATACGTGGAAATCTGCTGTACATATTCTAAGAACATACCAAAAGGGTATCACATCTTTCAGCCATGGTAGCATCTATGAGGGTAGTTGTGCTTGTGCTTTACTATCTGAAATTTGGTGTATGCTTGTATTGCATATAATGGCTCTGAAAATGATCTGAAATCTTTTGGGAACCAGAGATGTGCAAGATCTTTGAAGGAGATGCAAATTACCTTTATACAAAAACATTGCTATTACATTATTGGAGGATAGAGGGAAACATACACATTTTTTTCTTAGCCACTCTATTCTAATTATGTTGCACTGTTTTTTTTGTGTAACACTCCTAAGTTGACAGTCATATATTTCACTGATGAATCATACAAGACTATTTGCCTACCAAAAAAAGAAATATGTATACACAAGTATTTGAATTTCAAATTCACCACACCTCGTGCAAATAGTAGAATGGAGTGGGATGAATTAAAGGGTTCAATCAGAATCAGGTGGAAGCAAAGTAGTAGGAAGGGTTGACTTTAGATAGAGGACAAGAGCATATTCTGGAGATAAAAGGGCATTGTCAGCATTTGCTGGTGGCAATGTTGCAGCACCTCAAAGGAAAATCGCTATGGAAGAGATGTGGAACTCGGAGAAAATATTTCACATTCTCCCAAAACAACAGTGTAAAGTAGTAGCAATAAATCCTGCTTACATTTCAGTACTTGTTAGCACTTAGTGCAAATGCAAACATACACAGGCCTTCAATGATTTTACTGAGATTTGGACTTGCGTTAATATAATCTGGAAATTGATGCCATATCATTCACTTTTCAAAGTTAATTCACTTAACGCACTATTTCATCAGTTGTACTGAGCTTTTTAAAGCTGATGGGAAAAGCATGAGACATACAGACCATAGCTGAATTCTCTTTTTACTGACACCGGAACCAAAGTATCTAAAACATAAACTGAAAATAGCTGTAATAACACACACTCCCACCCATGAAACAGGAGAAAAGAAAGGCAGGTTCTTTTCAAAGGTCACGGATCAGCCTGAAACGAAGAAGATTATTTCCTCTCAAAACCAAAGATGCACCAGCAAAAGAAACATCAAACTGAATCAGTCTGGGCTTTCATGTGAAATTAGAAGAATGAAGACTTGACGCTTGTTTCAGACTGATATTGGTATTGACTTTTCAATAGCAAGCACATAATAGAATACAACTTCTCACATCATTTAGAAATCATCCCTGAGTTTAAACTAAAGCACGAGATATTTGACAAGAGATGATCTGTTGCAATAATAAAAAGAAGTACATTTTAAGGATGTACTACTTATCCCAAAATATAAGAAATAATAAGGAATAATAAGGAATAATAAGGAATAATAATAATAATATAATGTGATGGAAACAAGTCTTAGAACTTTACCTTTGTGGCAGCATCAAAACAGACAAAGCCCATGCTAAAGTCGATGGTAAGCCCCATCAGATGACTCTCCAAAACACAGGCATACGTCTTGCACTGTAAAAGAAAAATCAGAGAAGATGGTTAACACAGAACACATTTCTTCAAATTCTTTCTAGGACCAGTATTTCTGTGTCTTTATTCTGATGCTTCTACATCTCAAATTTATTACCAGAAATAAGCAATTTGTGCATAAGTAGGTCAATTTATTCCCAATGTATTTCAAATCAAAGGACTTGTATTAGTGATTAAGTTTTCTAAGTATTGTAAAAAGAGGCTTTGCTTCCATTAGGGAAAAAATAAATCAGAATCAGAACTGCCTCAGTGGTTTACCATGACAACTGCTAAAAGGGAAGTTTCATTATTTTCAAACTCTCTTATTTGTTTTGGTACCCAGTAACTTCTTCTAAGATTAGTATATTCCTTTAAGCTTTTTAAGAAAAATACAAATGTATTTGTAAAGTATCTCTTTGGTATGCTGTCTATTGTGTTTTTGTGTTATCACACAACAGTAAAAAGTTAATATTTCATACCATGTAGCAACTGACACAATCATATGAAAAACATTTTTTGCTTCAGCTGGTGGACCAATATATCTCAAAGGTTTAGATGAGAACTCCTGAAAGACTTTCTATGATTTTTAAATCTATGCATCTATTTATTTCCATAACATCACACTTCAATGTTGTGAGACATCTATTAGTGCTGTTTTCAGTCTCAAAACTATTGCTGTGCCTGAACTGTACTGTATTCCTGTACCTGACTTCAGGTACAAACTGACAAACTTGTATTTTTCATCACAAAATATGTAAAAAAATTAAAACATTTCCAAATCTAAGTTCTTTAAAGAAAACATTCTTATTTTATAGAAATTTTACCTTCCAGATTAAATGAAATATAGTTATATTCTTCAAATACCAACAGTTACTGGTTAATCTTTGTGCACACACCTTGGAGCTCTAGAATCCAGGTTTCAAACACAGTGATACCCATCACTGAAGCTGAAGGACACTCTCAGTTATCAGTGGGGCACAAGTGCAGTGTTTAAGCCAGTCTATAGAGAAAGCATGGCCATCTATAACTCGGATGTAAACATAATCCATGATACGTGCCTTACAAGATGATTTTGCATAATTGCTGAGTAACGGTAAATCATGTGCTACTATGTGATCCACCAAAGGTGTTCATAAACTATAACTGTGCATCAGTAAATGAAAGGTTTCCTACTGCTGCTGTTGAGGTGGAAATCAGCAACTGGTCTATTCTTGTAGCTTCCAACACTGGAAGAACTTTATGTACTTCACTACACGTATAAAACCTGAATCCATACAGTATAAAGGTGCACTTAATCATTATAACTATTAAGGCATAAAGCCCCAGAATTTTTAATTACAAAATCAATGATTCAGCTCTGCAATGTTGCAGTCAATTGATTTTTGTGTTTACATTAGCAAATAAAAGTGGCTTTTTTTTTGAAGCAGTTATACCACAAAACTACTACGAATATGTAAACTTTGATTGTAAATCAGTGATGTTAGAAAAGGAGAGGATACTGCCTTTGGCAACACCTCATTAGTAGAAAAAGGAGTGTAAAGTAATATATTTCACAGTGACTTGCTATTTAATGATTTCACATATGCAAAAATGTTCAGGATTTGCATGCAAAGCAAAAAAAGGTACAGTTTTGTAGAATTATCTTGCTAACTTCCTACAAGATACAAACCACATTTTTATTTGTAGTTCTCTTAAGACATCTCGAACAGACATAGTGCCTTTAGTGAGAATTAAAATTTGGCAAGGAGATTGTATATCAGATTTAAAATATGTATTGCCATCTAACTCATCTGACCTCCAACCTCAACACCAGAGGTCAGCCTACAGTGCACATTGCAGCACCACACTGCGGTGGCACAGCCACCTCTGCTTAAGCACAGCACTGTGTCTGGGCTAATTAAGCCTCACTGAGAAGTTAAGATTTATGAGAAACAGGGCATATCAGTCTTGGTTCAATACTGCACGGAAAAAGCAACCTGCTTCCCAGACCGAAGGCTTTTCCTGCAAAAGGCAGCAGGCAGTTTGTGGAGAAATATCATCTAGTTCAGCTCAGTGTGGTTACCCGCAGGAAGAAATTGCACCGTAAGGTGCAGACCACCAGTAGTAGTTGATTCTTTACTTATTCTTTACTTTTATGTGAGACCAGTCTGTGTCCTTGGACCATGTAGTCCATGATGTTAAAAACAATTCAGAGAAGCAGAAAAGTGAGAATAACAAACTGGATCCCTGGACAACAAGATTTTAGTTTCTCTGGCAAAGAATGTGCCTTGCTTTATGTGTGGGTTGTATGCACTTGCACATGATCCTGGTCACAGGTCAGAATAGGAATGTGAATTTTCAGACACCCGTTAACTCTGTTGAGATTTTTCTCATCTTTATTTTCTTTAATTTGTCTTTTAATTCAGACATTTGAAGAAAACAAAAATGCAGGAATTCTTCCCAGGGGACTCAATAATTTAAAATTCCTTATACATTTAACAAACATTTTAAATCATGAAAAGTGACTATTAATAACGTATGCTGTGGATGTTTGGCTTGGGTTGCTGATTTCTCAAATAAAGCTCATGAAAACCTTACCAGGACTGAAGCATCCTTCTCCCAAAAGAAGCAGAACATATTTCAGCACTCATTTCTTGTACCCTCACAGGATACAGAATCTTAAATTAGGATTATGAATAATTCAGCTGGTCAGGCGGGGGCCGAAGGAGACAACCCAAAGTAGTTCCTTAGATTCTACTACCTCAATACACACAATTTAAATTATGGAAAGAATAATATGTTGTAAGCCTAGTGTAGACTGTCTCTGAAGCTAAGGGAAACCATACTATAAATCCAAGATTTAATTCAGACTTTCACATTCGAATTAAACTTCAGAGTAAACAAACGTTGAAGTTCTGTAACACAAAGAAACTTATACAATAATCCTTATATTAGAGAACTAACTACAATACAAACAAGAAAAAAAAAACATGATGGAGGTGGTGAAAATTTTGACATAAAGTAGCAGGAACACAAAGGGAACCTGACAAGCATATACAATTGCACACCTTTATGCAAGCTATAGTAGTCTCAGATTCTTCATATAAAAATGCTGTGAGATAGAAAGATAAAAGGACCTCCATTTCAACTATTTTTTTTTTCTTTTAATAGATAATTCTGAAAATGGATTAGCACCTCTTATTACTTGTCCTGGTTTGATTACTCTAAAGAAAATTAACTAAAGAGTGACTGTAACACGATACAATGGCACCACAATATTATACCACATATTATTGCTAAACTGTTATCACCTTGACTATCTCTCCTCTAATACTCTAATATATTTATTTCCTTACAAAAAAAAAAAAAAAAGCCTAAATTTTGTTTTAGATATACCTCTGGCAGAAACTATGAATTAGACTTAAACAGAATTTATCACATAATTACAGTGAGACGTTTAAAAAATATTTCAATTTGTGATGTGTTCTTTAGAATTAAATCAGAATAAGACCCTGATTAATCTCTCATGGAGGTTAATGCCAATTTATACTCCTTGAGTAACTGCTATTATTTGTATGATCATGTAATAGTACACAACACGTTTTAATAATTTTAACTGACAGTTTTAAAATGCAGTTATATTTCCAAAATTATATGATTTCATAGTAAGACAAACCTGCACACAGATGGATTATCATTCACATGAAATATGAATATTCATATGAATATTATTACATAAGCCACAATTTTAGAAAAAAATGTACAGTTGATACCTCGATTTTGGACCTGTTACTTTTTTTCCTCACAGAGCAATGAAAGAACTCGTCAGAGACAAATTATAGCACTATTTAGTCAAACCAGATTTTATTTTAATCTGCAAATTGGTGGATGAAACCAGTAACGTACTGCTGAAAGACAAATGAGGAGGCCAAGACCAGTTATATTAAAAATTTTTTTTTTTTTTTTTTTTTTTTTTTTTTCCAAACTGAGATATAGAGAGGAAAGAAAATACAGGAAAAAAGTTGAAATAATAAGTGTGAGTTCCACAATAATAATCTTTCATGAGAAGCCTGTTTGTCCATCTTAACAAAGCTGCTATAATCAATCTCAGAAAATTATCACTTTGAGTTCATAATCGCTACTCTGAACATCAGTAGAGTGAAAAGAAAGGTGGAATGTTAAAACTAATCTGAGGTTAAAATTATTAGGGAAATTCAGTTTGGAAAATATGGGACCAATTTTGAATAAAAGTAATTCTAAAACCCAAGAGAAATATCTAAACTAGGAATGCTACAGTATGAATCAATATTAGAGATCAAATATGAAGTAGTTTCTGGGCTAAAAGTTATTTAAGAAAATTACCATATATCCTTTTACTGATAACACAGTAGTGCTTCTATAAACAGTGTTGCAGTCAGTTATATGAGAAAGACAAATCATCTCAAATATTTACTAGCAGAGGATATATATTGTTGTAATTTTTATACAGAAAAAATACACTTATATGTTTCAGTATGATAATCAGAGTTCAAAAGATAAGAATAGCTCCTGTAAAGGGTAGCAGACTGCATGAATTTCAGGATAAAAGTTGAACCTTCTCTGACTCCTCCAACAAAGGTAATATGTATTAAAACTGACAGCACTGTAGTTTTTGCAAGATGGATCATCATTAGTATATACTAATTCAGTCCATCTACATGTGTTGGTCTATAGGTCAGAAGAGAGCTAATACATAAGTAACTAACAATTTGTCTAAATAAAAAAACCGTCAGTGCTTGAATTCCCTAGAAGATGCAGAAAATGAGTGCAGGGAAAGTAAGCATTAGCCAATACTTGCACACACTAATATGCTAACATGACTTTTGTAGGTGTGTCCACAGAATAACTCATGGCAACATCAATTAAAGCTGTTCCAACCACATGCATTTCTTATTATTAGAACATCAATATAACAACTAGGATTAGATGAATTATAATTGTGGTGGTTATTTTTTCTTCTATTTTAAATCAAAAAACCATGACTTTTTAGTCATGTGAGAAAAACAGCTACCTTCAAACATTCTGATAAGTAATTCTGCTATAAAAAATCACTAGTAATCTGTACCTGAATGTCATCCATTCCTGTTCTGTCATCTGACAATTGAGTAAATACACAGAAAAACAAGAAATGTGTGAAAAAAGAATAACATATCTGATGCACAATTTTGTTCTTGCTTGCATCCAGTAAGTACTCTCACTGAGTGTACTGTCATTCCTGATTATTATAAGGACAATTTAATTCCTGCAAGGTTCTCTTATGTGATCCAATAACAAAGAAAATAGCACGTGAGACATTATGTAAGAATATCTGAACAGCTGGTTTTGTCCCTGATCTATAGATTGTTTTTCCTCTTCTGTCCATGAACTTTTGTTAACAAATACGTATCACCAAGTCATAATAACTCAAAGATTGTATTTGAGGTGATCTCTTCTGAATGTTAGGTTGCAAGCTGTTTGGGAACACCAAACAGGTTTATAAGCAGTTACATACATAGGTTTTTGTAATAATTTGAGAGTTACAGGAGCTCGGAGAATTTCTTAAATTTCTTGAAATGCATCATTATCTCATATAGACCTAATTTCTTAATGTACCAAAAGGTAATCATCAAGGCAGTTGTTCTCACCTGTATACGTTCAACTTCTAAAAAAGTTGCTGTTTGGAAGGCTTTTTCCCATAGCGTTAGGTCAGACTCTAGTTCCACAGAAAAGTAAAGATCTTCTCCAGATTCAGACTGGACACTGAAGCAATGTTTCCGCCGGTCCAGTAGATCACTGTCCTGATGAAAACCTGAAGTTATATAATCTGGCATACATCAATTAATATTTTTAATTGCAACCAACTATGCCTCAAACCTAGCATTTTTAAATGGCATTTTTAATGATATAACACTGTATAAACTACTGAGAGCTGAGGAACTGAAAATTAGGGTTTTGGTCTAAACATGGGCTTTTCAATTAATTTTAAACAGGACATCTATATGCAGAATGATACAGAACAACAAAGCATATCTGGCATAACTTCCAACATTTTAACAAATCAATTCTTAAAAATGCTATCAACTGAACACTTTTAAGTTAGATAAAAAAAGGTGTCCACTTTCTATTCACATGAGATGAACACAAATAGCTTGTCCGACCTATTTGAGTCACCCACCCTACTCTGGAAGGCTGGCCAAAGGAAACAAGAGATTTATTTAAGCAGTATGAAAAGAGCATCTGTCCTATTTTCCCTATAGAGACTAGAAAAAACAAGTGCATATTTCTGGTGGCTTATAAAATTCAACACAAAATTTGTTGGTAGCTGCATACTGCCAGTAGAGAATATAGTGGATGTCACTGGTTAGGTTGTTGGCTTTGGACCTGGAGGAGGACGTTATTTCTGGCTTTACTTTCGACACAACACTACATAATAGATATGAGGTTATAAATATATAATATTTAACGATTGCTCAGATGTAGCTAAATAATAGCCTATGTCTTATGACAAATACTTCTGTCTCTTTATTTTTTTTTTTTCCCCTTCTTTTTTTTTTCTTTCCACTCAGGCTAAAACTAAAATGCCAATTTTACTCACAGCATGTTTTGATCAGCAGTCAAAAAAGAGGTCATAACGTCTACGCTGTTGTTAATGCCATCTATGCTCCACTGCAAGCTCAGCCCTGAAGCTCACAGAGCAGCAGCACTGTGACAAATGTTTAATGTTGTGGATATGTGTAGCAACATAAAACAGACCATCTAGCACCTGACTATACAAACCGCATCAAGAGGAACTGGATGAGTAAAAGCAGTGGCTGATCCTCACTCCTCCAAGGAAGGGAAGCTACTTTCTATAGTATAACAGCACTTCTTGTCTAACAGGAATTAATCAGGGTCTTAAACTCATTACCCTCCCAGAGCTACACCTGACTGAAGAGGTCTGTTGAGCCACAACCAAATAGAGGTATTCAGCATGGAGTCTGACAAAACTCCTATGGGAAAGACATATCTTTCACAGAGAATGTCATAGCTACAACCTCAGAAGAAACTAAATATATTTTAATGGGAGGAAGCTTAGCGCAGTGTGAGACTCCAGAATGCATACCCCTATTTAGCTGGGCACAGCTAAGGTTTAATTCTTTTAAGTTTCATTGTTAGACTCTCGCATTCTTACAAGTTTTTTTCCTATTGAGAAGAATATGCTGGCTACAAAAAAGGTTTGAGTTCTTGTGGAGACTGTGAAAAATTAAATGTTAAAGGTTTTACTGACATTGATCTCTGCTAAAATGCATTTAAAAAATACAAAAAGCTCAGAAAGGTCTTTGAAGTGATTATATCAAAGCTTGTGTATTTTGTTATCAACATTGCGAGCAATAATTGTACTAGATTTTACTAAGCATTACTTCAAACTTAGAGGATGAAAAGTAAAAAAAGAGCTAAATAGGATCGACAATATTAATACATATTTTTGTTATTTATATATGAAAATGAGAACATTCTTTGATTTAGAAAAGATCGAATCAATACTAAGTAGCATTTCCCCTCAGTGGAATATTTTAATAATTTTAGATTATTTCAACTACTACATCATATCGTGACAAACAACACATATAGTGTACCAGTTTATTACTGGAATTTACATTTTGTGAAGTTCTGATCTGAAATTAAAACAAAATTCAACATTTCCACAGAAATAATAATTTTCCACAGAATAATAATTTCATTTTTTGACTAGTTCTAACCTATGTATTTGTGATTTTGATATCAATATCTATGTTTAAATCCATGGTAAGAAAATTTCAAGTCAAATATATTTAAATGTTGTACCTTAGTTTTAAGAAAGTTGCTGACATACATATGAGGTATTCCTTTCCTTCTTAGTGGTATTTCATTCTACTTGTAAAGATAATTTGGGGCAAGGATCCCTTTAGTACTGCTTCTACTACTTTTTTTCTGCAAGATCTTTGTTTAGTTTTTCATTTATTCTCAGGCATTTAAAAAGTGAAATCTGTATTCCAAATTTATAGATCTAACTACGTTTCCCTTTGTACAATGCATAACTGAAGGAAATAATATGCAAGCAGAGCTATAAGATAGCTATCCAAATGTCCTTGTAGAGGTAGCAATTTTTTTTCTTAGAAATCCAACTCAGAATTGCCCAAAAGACTCTGCAAATATACGATAAACTTGTCAGGAGTCTCAAAAACAGGTCTAGATTAAGCAAGAATCCTCATAATTAACTTTTACCAAATGATTATTTCAGCTAAAATACAAAATGTCATTCTACCCATTTAAGAATCTGCTATGACCCTGTATTTTATAATCACTTACTCATCAATAATGGACACGAGCCAATTTCGTGTTGATTTTTTAAGAACTTTCGTACCGTTAATGATTAGTTGTACCATTTGCCCCTGATGTTCCCAATGTGAATTAGTACAGATTCACTGAAGAGGAACAGTCACAAAACTTGTAGCAGTATGTTGATTCCCTACTGGAAGGAAAGTAGTCTTGCTGATGGTTGGGCTGTGAGGAAAGTCCTTGGCTTACACCCAGCTTCAGGGTAATCCAGCATCTCTGCTGACAGGACGGTATGACTCCTGCTTGCCTAATTAATAATGATGTCCCTGTTAAGTGAGAGTAATAAATATGTCTAAGGGAACCAAGCATGGCTCATTAGGCAGGTCCTTTCAAATTAAGGCAAAAGGCTTCTTATCACTAAGTAGTGACATCGCCTTCTCTTCTGCAGTGGTAATCTTTTCTCTCTTGAAAGTCTGCCCTCTCCAGAAGCAGCACTGCTCAGATTTGATTACTTGTGTCTTTTCATTTTATGTATGATGAATGCATCAAATATTCATACTTTGGCTATTATTTAAACATGCTAAAATGCAAGAGTGCCTCAACTTTTACTACAGTCAGTGAGAGTTAAGTTTTTCCATTCTACAAAGTTCTGTGCAATAGAAAGCAAAGAAAGGTCTACCAGTTTCATGCTCATGGCATGATTTTTACCCAGGAGGTGCTCAAGAACTGTCTGGAAGTCGGTTTACCTGCAAAGTTACATGTAATATACAGAGTAATTTGGCAGTGGAACTGTAAATATTAGTGACACTGCCAAGAAGTTTTTGATATGAACAATTCATGTAAGATGTTCAAAGCCACCCTAATCAGACTTGCATTCCTAAACAGACAAAACTGATTTTTGAGATCATTTTATTTCAGCTCTTAAAATGAGGTAAATATTAATGTTTGTGATATTAATTATAATAATTCTTAATAATAAACAGATGAGAAAACAAACAAAACCTGGTTTCTTTGTTGACTAGTCCAGACAGTCCTGCAAAACCAAATCTGTCCTACCATAACCAAGATTCAATCCTCACACATAAATTCTCTGAAGATAAAAAGCATTCTCCCATCAATTCATGAGCACAATAACTCCAAGGAGACTGCTGGCATCACTGCCCTGATTATTTTACTGTTTGTGTCTCTTTTCACTTATCATCTCCATCTACATAAACATACATCCTTCTTTCTAAGGGATTCGAATGATCTACTTCTTTATCTGAAACTTTGGGAACATTTTGCTTGAGCATCACCATTAGTTGCTATGGAGATGGTTCTAAAAGCATTTACAGGCAGCAGTGAACAGATTCACTCCAGAGTGAAAAAAAGATATTACTTCCCCAACATATCCTCATTAATCAAGTAATAAAGAAAAATGACCCACTCAAGCATGCATATGTTGGTATATACCTCATCTTATTTGGGGCCTTCTGAATTTTAATGTTAAAAAAGTAAGAAAAATGTTTAAATTGCATGTGTGTGTGTGCATGTGTGTGTGTCTGTGTATGCATATACATATGCATTTAAATAAACACAGAATGCCAGCTAAACTGAAACTGGACATAATGTTTTTCAATGGCCAAATTTTACGAAAATATTTTTTTCTCAAGGGGAAAAATTAGTTTCAATTAAATTTCCATTAGAAAGATCTGTCTGCTTGAGAGAAGCAGAAATCTTCATTCTCTGTAACATATTAGATACAGCAGAAAGATCGGATTATTTTCCTATTCTGTCTTAATAGGAAAATTAATTTCCTATTCTGCCTGATTAAAAGATGGTGCAGTCTCAAAGACCCTCAACTGAATCAGAACAAGAGTCTGAACACAGGTTTCTCCTGAACCAGTGCCATAATTGTGCCTATTTCTTATTGACCTCCACTCAGAAATGTGTTTATTTTAATGCAATATGAGGAAAATTTTCAAAATTTTCATAAAACAGACCAATGTTTTGGGGAAATAATTTATTCTAGTACTTTCCAGAGAAGCATTGGTGGTTATTTTCTGCTAAAGAGAAATCAAAGGCTAATATAATTACAGAGATTTAAAAAGGTGCTGATCATCTCTTTGGAGAGTTATTAAGGTTTTGTACTTCTCCAAACTTTGAGGCATTATTTGCTAGAAGATGTGTAACACCAGATCCCAAAAAAGTAACATAGTAATAGATAGCAATGCTAAAGAGTGATCATATCTTTTCATTCTGAGCCCCTGTTTACAGCGTTCTCAAATTTAAATAATTGTAGCTGTTTTTTTTTTTTTTTTTTTTCCATTAGTTGCCTGCCTGAGGATAATTTTGATTTTCATGTTATAGTTAAAAAAGTTGAATTGGTTCTGTGAAGTAAATTAAGAAAATAAATTAAACTGGTTTGTCCATGTTAAAAACAATGAAACAAACAGAAAACTGGAACCACCCTCTGAAAATGTTCTTTGGGCTGCTCTGGGACCTCTGTTCTTTGTAATAG